ATTTCACGAACAAAATCGCTCTCAGCGCTCCGTAAAATAAATAAACACGCAAGAACGACGATGCATAGTATCTGTTTCGAAGTCGCTTGATATCGCCGCTTGATTCGGTTTGACTCATATGAAGTCGGAATAACTCATATCGCCGCTTGATTCGGTTTGACTCATAAAGTCGGAATAACTCATATCGCCGCTTGATTCGGTTTGAGTCATATAAAGTCGGATGATATAGTTAGTCGATGAATGCGGTTAAAGTCATATAAAGACGATTGGAGTCGGCTGATACATTTAAGCATATTAAAGCCGGGTGGCTCGCATGATTTAATTCATTATTTATTTTTTATACTTATGATATTTATTTTTTATATTATTATAATATTGAATTAAATTAAAACATTTTTTTATATTTATATTTATGAAAAATTTTATATTTATGAAAAATTTGTGTTAATACATATTTTATCACAGTAAATATTTCGCGGCTTGATACGTGCTGATTAGTTTTTGGCAAAGTCAGGTCTAGCCATTTCAAGATACAAGGCAAAAAGTGCCAAAAATGGTAATTACGGGGCGTCCATTAATCACGTGAGCGAGTTTTTAAGGATTTTTGGATCCCCCAACCCCCTTGGTGATACATGGCAATATTCAAAATTAAACCCTCCTTTCCCCCACCAAAAACGTTAAAAAATAAATACACGTGATATCTTACTATAATTCAATAAAAAAATATTGATGCATTTATTGCTTTAAATAGATTAATTTTTGTAAAAGTGTAGAATTTTGTATCAGCGACATGGCGCGTATTATAATAAAGTTGGCAACACGTGATGTAAATATTACTGTTCAGAGCAGTCAATGATTCAAGAATAAAACTGAAGGCTGGGCGTCGTATCTTGATTTCGCTTCAATTGACTTCTGTGCTATACGCAAATTAGCCTATTGAAATATTTCATCTGTCAAGGTAAGGGTTTCAATTATTTTTAAATATTAGAATTTCTGTAATGCTGTAATATTTTAATGTACGTAATTTTATCAACGCATTAATTTTAATATGACATAATATGACTACGTTAGCTTGATTTGTAGCTTTGTGTTTTTTACTCCTGTTACATAATTTTAGCGAAAAAGGCACCATGTTGTCCAGATCCGTGGGTTTAATAAGAAGCAATCTAACTACTATTGTTAGAAATTCACATGCTACTTACACAGTACCTGGAGAAAATCTACCATTTCAAATTAAAAATCGCTACAAGTTGACTGCTATGTTCGTTCTTTTCTTTGGATCTGGTTTGGGTGTACCGTTTTTGGTTCTGCGCCACCAACTTTTGAAAAAGTAAAATAAGTTAGTTGATCAGATGTGTAAACTAAAATAAATTAATGAAATACAGTAACATTTAGCTTAAAAAATGTTTCATTGACTTGTAAGTGGTTATGGAGTTGGGTGAAACAAACATTTTGCATTAGATTTACATATATTGGTTACATACATTTTTTTTGCTGGATCTGTGAGAAAGAGGAATGAAATTGTGTGTGATCAAATTAAGTGTGTAATCATTAAGTTAAATTGGCTCGGTCCGTAAATGTAGTCTTATGAATAATAGCATTAGGTAAGGTAATTGCTTTTACTTTTATTTCAAATAATTCAATAGTAAATTGCAAATCACACTTGTTCATGAGTAAGTTCTTTTATTTTTGTTCATTATTATTTAAGCATATGAATTTAGCAAAATTGCTACTATAAAATGTATACTTATACAATGATAGGTGAGTTGCTCAAATTTATAGTGTTTTCAATGGATCTGAGCCTGCAATTAACATATAAAAGACCACATGGAGTTATTAACTGTGTATACTTTAATTGAAATAAATTTAGGGGTTAAATGTTTTCCTTGAATTACTGTTCACTAAAAACATTACAAATAATATATGTAGACAACAATAAAAACAATGCCACCCTTTGTGAGAAACTAATTTTTACAATGCGGTCTTCATGTTAATAATAGGCAAAATAAGTGAAAATTGTTTTGATAACTTTTAAAAAATTGTTTTTAACAGATTAACAATTTATTCATATGGAGCTTCACTTGTAATGCATAATATTTTATGTGGTTGGACCATCAATTAAAATATTGTTAAATTTTATTCAGTCACCATGAAATTTTTAATTTATTAGAAGGTAATTGGAACTAACAATTTGTAGGCATATTTCAAAAGGATGTTTTTGATAAGTTCTTTAGCAAACTACAAATGTGCTTTATAATTCAACTTCCAATACTATTGACATACAAAAGCGAATCTAGAATTTTCAAACACTAAAAAGAAAAAATAACTTAAGAGACTAGTAATAAAAACAAATGTACTTATATTATTTTAATTATAACTAAGTATTTGTATAAATGATTCTTACATCTATTTAAATTAATAATTATTCTATCTCCCCCAAATATAAAGTTTTGTCACTTGAAGCTGATAATATGATGGGCTCGTTTGGATGAAATTTTACATCATTTACACTGCCATTATGCCCAGGTAGTTTGTACAAAATTCTCCTAGATGTTGTGTCCCAAATGTATAAGAATCTATCTGCTGAACCACATGAAACCTGAGGGGTAAATCGACATTTCATTGGGCTATATTTAGCATAGATAATGGTGGGCTTAAATTGTATTTTACTAACCTTTGACCCATCAAGTGACCAAGTACATCTTAATAAATTCTTTTCATAATTATGATGATGACCAGAAAATACTTTCAAACATCTGTCACCAGTCACAAATGCTCGAATATCCCAAATGCGCAGCGTATTGTCCATAGAATTTGAAAGTATATAAGATCCATCAGGGGAAAGCGATAAACCTGCAAAACAAAGCAATACAATGAGATTTTCATGATCGTATATAGTATTTGCTCAGGCGCAGTTTATTACTTTAGGCTTATGGGCACATGCTTTAAGTTTATCAAATTCATGATAGATGAGGAATTGCGATCATATGGAAGAAATAAATAATATTCAAAATGAATACTTGATAAAGCCAGTTTATTATACAGCATTTTTATTTAATACCTGTGACAGTATCAGTGTGACCTTTCAGTTTCATCAAAAGATTATTTTTGCGCACATCCCATATTTTGATATCATTATCTATTCCACCTGATATTATTTGTTCTGAAGTGTCATTAAATGTAACGGCAGTCACTTGATATCCGGCATCGTAACTATTTATGCAATTTCTCTTTCTTGCATCCCACAGACGAATTGTAGAGTCATCACCTCCAGATACTAAAAGCCTCGGCCCACGTCTGGCACCTAAAAAAAAAACAATTATTTGGTGAATGCAATAACATTGTAAATTATTGATGAGATTTATCCATCCTATGCGATAAGAAATTCAAAATAAGTCAATTGTTTGATTGATACAATATTTAGTAATGTTCTCAATTCAAAATATAATACAGTTCTTTTTTTGTTATGTTACGTATTATATTTTTCCTAGTAATACTATACTGTTCAAATTCTGTACAATTCATTGCCTTGTCACATCTATCAATGAAAGTCATCAATTTACACAACATGAAATAAACAGCAATACATTAGACACTGTATCTACCAATTACATTGATATTGCATCTAATTACCAAAACACCAAACCTATGACAAGAACAATGCCTGAAAATAAAGTTAAGTACTATAGTTCTTCACACCTTGAACAGAATTTACAAAAGCAGTATGACCCCGCATTTTCTTCATTCTTTGTCCAGTCTGCACATCCCAAATTCCCAGCATGTGATCTGTGGAGCATGTATAAATATGCCCACCATCCGGAGAGAAATGTAATTCCATAACAGCACCTGAATGTCCTTTCAAACTGGATATATTCTCACATTCACCATAGACGGACCAAATATATATTTGCCTATCAAAACCCGTAGATGCTAAGTATTCACCGTCTGGGTGAAAGTCAGCACTAAAAACGTCTCCTTGATGTCCCTCTAAGAGCATTATAGGCGCAAACAATTTTGATGTTCGTACTACATTCTAAAATATATAAAAATTACATGAATAAAAAGTAAATATGAATTTAAGAATTTAAATATCAACACACGGATGCTGTAGCGACAGCCTTTTCTCTTGCACTCAGAACGGTTAGCTCATTTCTCAATTTTTTCGTATCTGAAGCAACTACTAAAGAATCACTCTTTCGTTTCAAGTCTGACACAGGCATTTTGTAAGTGATAATATAAATTTATTTACAAATTTGTTCATACAGTTGTTATGTTCCTATATGACAACAACGTTATGTTTATTTCGTCGTTTTAGGGGTTATGTATTTGGAATGATGGGCTGGTTGGGCTTTAGTACTTTATTTTCTTGTTGTTGCCACCCTGGCTGTCAAGTCAATTTGCACTCTTCTTTTATATACTCTTCTTTTATCTATGCTTTTATCTATCTTGCTTTGTTGCATGGTTGCACTCTATGCACTTGCTAAATATCGATGTATCATGAATGTATCGATGATTGTGCGATTGTGCTCTCCGTGTCGTTGATCTGACACGAAAAAGAGCGCGAAGTCGTGAACTCGTGCATACGATGTTATATTCGATGTTAGATGTTTTTGTGTTTTTGTAATTTGTTATGGATAATCCAAAGTGTTATATTTTATTTTAGTAAAAAAAATTATGATGAATTAAATTAATTTTAAATTGAGTTGACTTGATCTTGATTTGTAATAAAGCGGGTGAGTTGTTCTGTTAATAATTTATTGTATGAATAAGTAGGCAACATAGTTTTTTAGTTTAAAAACAAAATGTATTGTTATTTTTTATAAAATTTTTGTTATCATAATGTCAAAATACAAAAAAAAAAATTGTAAAAATATGTTCTGATTATTGAAATGGCCGAAAATCCATCACCAAGTAATTCACCCAGGACAAGCGCATCAACAAAATTAAGTAATTCGCCGACGACGAGCTCTTCAACAAAAGAAAAAGTTACTCCGGAACCAAGTATATCACCAAAAGCAAGTGTTTCTAGAGAATCTAGTCCACCCAGAGATAGCGTTGCATCAAAAACAAGTAATTCTTCACATGAGAAGTCCACAAAATTGAGCGATAATGATAAATCTGGATCGAGTATTAGTTTATATAGTACTGATAGCAGCTTTGCATCATCAGTTGGATCTGTAGTTTCTATTAATTTAAGAGTCCCACAAAAACGCCGAAAGCATGATTATGAACCAAAACCACATGTTTTTAAATTACCCAGGGTTTTAAATTATGACGCAAAAAAGCTTCATGCAAAATGTCCATCTTATAATATTTTAGTAGATCATACTCTCGCAGTGGTTTGGATATTGTTTTCTCGAAAGGAGCCTTCAAGAGAGCTTGGAATTGTCCAGCTGCAGTGGGCGATTAGTTTTCTTAAATCTATAAGGAATAGGCGTGGTTTTATTCCTAAAGATGTAATATGGTGTGTAACCATTATGCAGGAGCGCATAATGAATTTATATACTGATGTCCACAATTTTACAACAACCAACTCAACATATCAAGATTCTTTCAAAAAAACATTAGACAAATATAAAAGAACACCTGGTGTAATAAAGCACAACGTACTTGTTAGCACAGGCAGTTGTTATCCAATTTCATTCTCGCTTAATGATATGGTAGGAGCAAAATCAGATGTAATTGAAGAACTTACTAAACCTTTGGGACAACCATGCGATGAGTCTACATGCCCTATGTGTCCGCCTTGTTTCATAGATTTTCCAACATTTACTGGGTTGGAAATTGATGAGTCTTTGTCAAATTCTCAAATGTTAGGAGTTTTGAAAAACTGGAGGCAAGAGCAGGTCGATAGAATTGAAGAAGAATTAAAAAAATTACACTCAATTGAAGAAATTATGTTTAACGTAAATAAAGAAGCACCAGATGCAATTGATGCTAGTGTTGTAGAACAAATATATGCATATGAAAAGAAGAAAAGGGAATCCGAGCAAGGCAGTAGCAGTTAATGAATTGTGGCAGACTGTGAATTTATCTAGAGATTTGGTAAACTAAATTAATTTTTCTGATTTTGATATTGCATTTATACAACAATATTATTTAACACTACATCAATTATTACTTCAACATGTTCGTGGGTAGTAAACATTTCAGCAAGTTACAAAAATTGATAGTCATTTTATTTTTGATTTGGTTGTGATATTCAAAATTTGATTAAACAGAGTTTAAAAGGATCATCATCATATTTTAATCAATAAATGCAATATATTTTATTTGAGTTTAAAAGTCGGGCATTACATCAATATTCACACTTTATTGATGTTTATAAGGGCCTCTCAAATTCAACCAATTTTGAATATTTTCAATTCATAGTTCAATAAAGTCTTAACTCTTGAAAACTTGGGACATTTGTGGTATTTTTTTTATTGTGGTCCTAGAAATGATATTAATGGTTACGGTTGAAAGTCTAAATGAACAAAATTAATAAAAGTTAAAACCACATAAACCAAAAAATGGTTATAATTTTACCAAAGCTCTAGGTTGCCTTAAAAGCTGATAATTTCCAAACGTGATATAATTTTTTTTTTCAAAATTATTTCTGGATAGTTATAATAAAACTATCACCACGTTTTGGCTTGATGTGAAGGTTTGGGACCTCTTTTTTTATAAAATACTTTTTAACAGGCATCCATCCAGATAATGAAGTAGAGTACTTCATCCTTTGAGGCATAATGGTCAAATTATTATCTATTCGTTTATTTTTTTCTTGGTTTAGGTGAAGGAATATTTTCATTCATCATGTATTTGTTTTGTGTTTAAATTTATTTTAAGAAACATATTTTAGTTTTCTTTTTATTTTATTATCTGGATGGATGCATGCTTAGAAGTATTTTGTTTAATCAACATATTTATCAGTGTCTGAAAAATTATCACATCCGAAAATCATATATGCCTCAGTGACCATTAAATCGACCCGGCCTAATATAAAATATATGAATATAAATAGGTATGACATAAAAATAAATGAATATATAAATATATATGACATATAAAAATATATGAATAGTTACCCACTGCAAAGCATACCACATATAAATATTGCCGGCTCATATTAATAGTTTTTGCAACTGCCAACCTAATCTGAAACTGATTATATTTAAATTGAATTGGCACATTTGAAGTTACAAGATATTGATATATTATTATAGTGCTATTGCATTAATTTATTAATTTTTGAGTTACAAAGCAAGATAATTAATTTTAGCATTATATTGATATAGATTTGCAAAAATGATTCTTCATGCAATACATTTATCAACTATTATGTACTGTTTGTGCGCATCGAAAAATATTTGTATTTTGAAATTGGAAAATGGGAGGGGTGGACAACCCTTGTTGAAAATGAATTGTTTTTTTTTTTAAGTAAAATTCACGCTTTATCATAAGGTTAGTAAAAAACACTCACTAACTGAAAGGGTAGTGAAAAATTATCATAAATCTAAAATGTCTATTATGAAATAGAGATTTGTGGAAGGAGGGTGAAAATTTAGAATTGTATGCATTTCATAATTCCGCATTATGAAAAATGAAATTAAGAGAAAATTGATTCTGAAATTACAAATAAAATTGGGGTGGACAACCCTTGATAAAAACAAATAGTTCTCAGGGGTAAAAAGAGTTCTATGTATTTCTCAATTTCGAATCATTGAAAACTAAAATAAAAAAATATTAGGTGTAGACAACCATTGATATAAATAAATAGCATTTTGAAATAAAGAGTTGTATGTATTTTTCAATGTTGCATTAAACAAATTGACCTCAAAATTTAAAAAAGTGTTAGGGTTGACAACCTGAGCATTTCAATTCAAGCATTTTTCTCAACTAAAAAATCTCAACTAAAATTATGTCGAATAATAGGTCAAATTATTTTTAAGAGAAAATTGATTCCACAATTAAAAATGTTAGAAGTGGACAATTTTTGATAAAAATAAATTGTATTTTAAGCTTTTTCTTCAAGCTCAAAAATCTGAACTAAAGTTATGTCAAAAATATTTTATGATAAAAAATTAGAATTACTAAAATGGCTATAGAAAAATAGGGATTGATGATAAAAAACTAAATGTTGAAGGTTGTATGTATTTTTAATGCCACATTATGAAAAAATAAAAACAAAAAATTTTGTGAAAAATTTAAAGAAAAATTTAATGGTGAACAACCCTTATCACTTACATGTATGAAAAATCGATAGTTACCGATTCTCAGACTTACTGAACGCGAATATAAAATTTGGTAAGAATCGGTAAAGCCGTTATAATATAATTGATCAATATTATGATTGTAACGAAATATATATGCATAAAAAATATATCTTAGCACATGCATTTTCTAATCTGAAAGGAATTCAGCAGTGTCTCACCTTTAATACTAGGATCGACATAACTCGATTGGTAATAAATTACTGAGTATAGGAAATACTAGGAAATAATTTTATATGCGTAGTTTGTCATAAATATATATTAATAAGCAATTATGATTATATATAAGTTTGTGCTTGTAAAGTAACTTAACATTTATTATAACCTTTGTATGTATAACTTGTGCATATTGCATTTTATATATTTATATTATCTTATTGCATATTATATTAGGTATTATTTAATGCATTAGTTTACATATTTAAGACAATAAAGTTTCATACTTTGTTTTGCAATTACCATTTTACATTTTACATAATTTGAAATAATTTTGACTTGGATTTTTTTTTAAATTTTTGATATTGTGAATTTTATGTTGCATCATTTTTATTTGGCATTTACTTCGCAGATATGCTACATTATTAAAAGCAAGTGTTGATTTTGGTATAAAATGGTTTGCATATATTTTTCAAAGAGGGGTAAACGGTAGCATTTGAATTTTATATTTATATGGTAAATGTAACATAAAATTTAGTGTGATTGTTACAGATGTTCTGCTACAAATATTTTTTTTTTATTTCTTCTAGTTTTTTTTTCTCAACATGGTTGATCCAAGTGCAGATACTGATATAAGCAAGTTAGAAGCTCTGTTTTTATTGTCTGATAATGATGAAGGACCAACAGTGATAGAAGAGCAGAAAGCAAAGGGATGCACATTAGAAAATAATATTAATAAAAAATCGTTTTTACAAGAATTAGCTGATTTAGATAAGAATATTGATACGTTAATGACAAATAATGCAACATTTTCAGACCTTGATTCAATTAGAATTGGAAAATATAACAACAAAGATAGTGTAGTTCATAATGGAGATACTGATTCGTCTGATGATGAAGAAAAACGGAATTTTTTAGAGCAGAAGTATAATGACTATGGAAGGCAAATTAAAAGTTACTTAAATAAACAAGAAAATGAACAAACAAATAGAAAAATGGATAAAATAATTAATACTGAAATTAAAAAATCTAATATATCATCGAAACTATCAGATGAGAAATATGAGTTAAAAGTAGCTGCTAATACCAAAAATGCTATAAAAACTAAATGCGACGTATATACTGATCCAATATTTGGAATTAGATTAATTAACCCTGTCATTTCGAGTGCCACATTAACTGAGAGAATGACTGGAAAATTGCCTGTTCGATTTGCTCAAATTAAAAGGCATGTGCAAAGTGGCAACTTGGATTCAGATTGGGTAGTGGCAGGCTGCATTGTAAGCAAGAGCCCTGTTAAAACATCTCAAAAAGGTGCTCAGTATAGCATTTGGTTACTCAGTGATTTGCATAATGATTTAAAAACTGTCTCATTATTTTTGTTTCGCAATGCTCATAAAGAGTTGTGGAAAACAAATTCAGGAACAGTCATTGGAATTCTAAACCCAAGTGTTCTTGAAAAAAGAGAAGGTTCGAAGGATGAAGCTTGCTTATCTGTAGATAATCCTCAAAGAATTATGATATTTGGCCAATCAAAAGATATAGGAACATGTAAAAGCCGGAAAAAAAATGGTGACCCATGTACAGCATTTGTGAATACACATACTTGTGAATTTTGTATATTTCATGTTAAGCAAGAATATATTCAACATTCCAAAAGATCTGAACTGCAATCTTCTTTTGCAGGAAATGGGTTAACAAATTTGAGAAACAAGGTTTTGGGAAAGAATGAGGTCTTTTATGGAGGACAGTCCTATATTGCGACGCCTATTCAAAAAAACAGAAAACAAATGGCTAAAGATAAAAATAGATTAAATTTTCTTTCTGATGGAATGACCACTAATAGTAGCAGTGTCAATAGGCAAAGTATTATTAATTCATTAAATGTTGCAAATAAACTGAACGCTGCTAGAATTGAGGTCACCTCAAAACAAAGAGATAAAGATCTGAAACGATTACAAATTCTAAAGGAATACATGCCAGAATGTTCTACACGATTAGTAAATAATGTGATGAATAATGAATTAGAAATTTCAAATAAAACTGCAATTAAAGACAGCAACCATGCAAACAGTACTAATTGCAATAATATTTTTATTCCAAAACTCAGTTCTGATAATGGTAAAATAATTAATTTAAATATAGATGCACATAAAACTGTGAATAAAGCAAATTTTAAAGCATTAGAATGGGTTAAAAAAAATGGACCCATAAAAAAAACTGACCCCAGTAATTTGAAAGGAACCATATTAGGCAAGAAACGTATATTAGAAGAACTAAATCATGATCAAATAAACAAAAAAATGAAGGTAGAAGAAAAGACATCTTTTAGGTCAGATCGATTTAAAAAATTAATGGAAGCTTCCTCAATAAATGAGCATTTGGTCACATTGGCAGAAAATGAAAAACAAAAAAAGTACTTTGATATATTAGAGAAGAAGGAAGCGATGGAAGAAAAAATGTTAAATACTTTCAAAGTCGCTTGTAAAGCAGTGTCATGCTCTGTATGCAAATACACCAGTTTTTCAGCATCAGAGAAATGCAAGAAAGAAAGACATCAATTAAAAGTCACCGACTCCTTCAAAAGATTCTTTCAATGCCAGGATTGTTCAAATAGAACAGTTACATTAGATAAGATCCCCAAATTTTCTTGCAAAAATTGTCAGAGCTCACATTGGGTTAGAGCACCTATGATGAAAGAAAGAATTGTCAAAAGTACTTCACAGGTTTTGTCAATTAGAGGTGATGAGGAGAAATTTATAGGCTCTGTAATGTCTGAAAGCAATATTAACTTACTTGTTCCCGAATAATATTAATTATTGATGTAAATTTAAACTTTTTAATAAATCCATGTTTTAAAGTTTGAGTATATTTATTATTTTAAGTTTTTTTCTGATAAATGCATTGATATGTTCAAGTTTCTAATATATATTAATACAAATTTTTCTTTCCATCACTTTAAAAATATGTTTAAAGTTAACATTATCAAATAAAATTCAATTAGACTTGTTTCTACAGTTAGGGTCACTTTCGATTTATGATTACTTGATTCAAAAAATGTTCCATGAGAATGCAGCATCTATTAAATTTTATTAGAATTTCTAGATGCTGGCTGTTGATTTGAACATATCAATATTTTTGTGATATCATTTTTAGCTTTTTGGACGAATGTTTTGATTCAATTGAGGCAGTTTTACAGTTTCAAAAGATTACTATCAAACTTTTAATTTATTTTACGTATTTACTTAAAAGTAATTAAATAATAATTTCCGATTTGTTGATAATCAAGTATTTGTTGATATTTCAATTGAGTTTCTGTTTTTTTTTTCCTCCGATATGTAAGTACTTCGTGGCAGTCTTTGACATATGCGTGGAAGTGTGGAACGTCAAATAAATATTAATCAGTAAAACTGTAGTGTTTTTTGTGTTGCAAGTTATTTTACGCTTCCAACAATTATATAAGGTAAATTATTTGTAAATTAAATTAAATTTATGTGATTACTCTTATTTACATTTGAAAATCATTATTAGTTATTGTTTTAATAGAGGTTAATTACTTGTTGTCTGTTATAACCTAGAAATTCGTGTAATCTCTTTAATTCAAACACTATATTCCCAATTTATCTTTTATGACGATTCGGAAAGTTCTTGTGCTGTTTTTTTTTGCTTTCATGATCTTTCTTACTGATTTCCCGAAGAACTTAGTTTTTGCCAGAAAACCCGATTTTCAAATTTTGTATTTTATTGATGTTTCCAATGATTCTGACCCCAAATTCGGAAATAGTATGAGTGTATGTGTACATGTGAGCCTAAATTTGACTTTTAGTCGAAATTTTACCAAAAACGGCTGCACCGAATTCAAACATTTAAAAGCCTTTTAATGAAACCCGATAATAACTACCGCCGATTAGTTTTGCCAGACGAACGGTCGTGCTGTTTCTTTGGAACTCGCAGAAAAGTGCAAGATTTTTTGTCAATGTTTTCGAAAAAATCCTTAACCGATTTTCGAAATGTAAAAACCCTTCGTAATTATGATGGGTCCCCATTGCCGACGAATCCTTACGGCGAATCCTGTTCGCCACGTGAGCGTGGTTTGGCTTTCGTTTGCAGTAATTTAGACTGCGCGCGTTTTCAACAGGATTCGGCAATGGGGGCGCATCATTGGAATCAGTCGAGAATCATCTTTTAGTAAGTTTTTGGTAAATATCGACCAGGCAATGGATTTTGATGTAACATTGTATGATGACAAGTTTCATGGTCTACTAAACTAACATTCTAAATTATTATAGGCAGCGATGAGCAGCTGAATTATAAAAACTTATCAATGATTGAAAAAATGACCAGCGCGCTTAAAATCTACACCGTGTATATTCCGTTCTGTGTTTTGTAGGTACATATTAATTACCGTTGGTACATACTTAACCACTTTTTTACTTAACCGTTTTTTTGTGAAGTGAGGTAAAAAATAAGCAGTTTCTTTTTGTTTTTGACATTTTATATTGTAGAAATGATAATATAAAGTCAAAACAACATAAACATTAAAAAAAAAACATATTTTTTAAAAAAATTGAAAATTCAAATATTTTTTAAAAAAAAATCGCAGAGATCACAAAATTATAAAACAAATATACAATCACAAAATCATAAAACAATTATATAATATCACAAAATTATAAAACAATTATATAATAAATAACCACTTACAAGTACAAATTTATAAGCTCTATGAAATGGCAATCTATTCAACAATTCGATACTTCTATAGACTATAAAAAGCATTGCTATGTTCACATTCATATATTCATCATATTCATCATAGGGATAGCAAAAATCTTAACAAACCATACGCAAGACAGTCTCATTCTAAGTGAAAACCGAATATTTGTATGTGGCGAGAGGCTCTCCGACGAGAGCAAATCGGAACACATTAGCCGCGCGAGAGGGTCTCGTTCGAGTTGCTTAAGTGGTTAAATGAAATATATACATATTTCGAACGCGAAGCAGTATGAAATGTGTTGAATAAATTAATTTAGTTTATACAATTGCAGGTATTATATGCTTGTTTGCATTTGGGATAAATACCGTATTTATCAGTTTTTAGTAAAAGCATGATAAAAATTTAAATAGTTTAGTTTTAAAATAAATTGTTGAAATTTTTTTCTAAACAACTAAGTTCTAATTTTTATTAATTATGTAGATTATTTACATATATCGGAAAGTCCATGCTAATTGAGATCTATTTTTTACTTTCTGAATATATAATAATATTATGATAAATAATAATTATGCAATCAAGTACGCTTTACTCAACTTTTAATTAAATATTTTTCATTATGTAATGCAATTTTATTAATAGTCTAAACTCTCCAACGGTTCATTTTTTTTGTAATGTGTATTTAAAAAAACACATATAACCCTAATTTCACCTTCTTACCATCAATCTCTATTTTGTAAGAATTATAGTAATTACATAATTCTTTATCTCGACTTCTGTAGGTGAACGTTTTCGAGTGAATTTCGATTAAGATTGTTTGAGCCTATGAAAAAGCTCAATTTTACGTAAAAAATTTATTGGATCAAGAGTTGTCCAACGCAAACACTAATTTTTTATCGATTATTTTTTTAAATGCGCGTTCGAAAATTACATAGAAGCAGCCTTCAATTTTTACCTTCCTGCTACATTTCCCAATCATTTTTAACCTGATTAATACTGGTCAATTATCGCCATTTTGGAAACGTTTTTACTGAATTTTGATTCAAATTGTTCAAAGTTAATGAAAAAGCTTAAATTTTTATTACGGGTTTTATTTTTTTATTTTTATCATGGGTTGATCACCTCTAACACTCTATTGAATTTATTGGAGACATTTTCTGTATTTTTTTACTAGACACCAGTGGCGTTACTAGACTCTCCGGGGCCCGTGGCAAATGCTTTAGGGGCCCTATCGTGATACTCAATGTTCATTTTATTGAGTTTTTTTTTTTAATAAACTCAATATTTTTCAACGTAGTCAATAGCATAACTACTGGACAAAACAATTTTTAATGAATTATATTACAAATGAGCAAACCAACTTCGACTAATTCATATTTTATGGCTTTAAATTATAAAGACAAAAAGCAAGTGAAATAATAATTCGAGATCGAAAGACCATTTTTCTCTTATACTATTCACTTCTAATTTTAAATTTTCAAATTCATGCCGATACTTTCCATTTGTACTAAAAAATTTTGCAAATGTTTTAGTGCTTTTGAAAGATTGATGGCTTTAGATTATACGAGTGCTTTAGATGCTCCATCGATAATTTGTAGGATATTACAATGAAAATCAAATAACATAATAAAATTATATTTTTCAAACTTATTTTTATGTAAAATAACTTAATTTCTTTCATCTGATTTGTAATCTAATAGAATTGTTTTTGTTGTACTTATTAGACCTCAACAAAACGAACTTCTACAGTAAAAAGAGCATCATAATGTTCTGCTCATCTAGTAGGGTTTAATAATTTAACATTTTGATGCCATTTTTGCTTTAAAAGTTAGTACTGTTGAGTGACAAAAAGCACAGAAAACTGTGTTCAAGTATTTTATGATTAAATTGTAATTGTATTATTGTCTTTAGTAGTCTCACTTTGGAGTTTAAGAAGAATTTAAACTATATATTAAAACATAAATTAAATTTTCCAAGTGTAATGAAATAATCAGGTACAATATAAAAAAATATTTTTGATTTCGCGGTCACTTCGGCCAGGGGCCCCCTTGGGTCGGATAGATCGGGGCTTAATGGTCAGCGGGATATACATGTTCAAAAAGTACCCGGAATTACTAATAATTAAATTTCGCGGGTCTGGAGTGTCTGATTTTTTATTGTGTTGGTATACATGCCCCTAAAGTATGATGAAATTTTCAGCTATATTCACTGTTTACTTTGTCTGTGGTAGTCGCTAAGGTTCGACGTGTTTTTCTGAGCTCGGCGATTTTTACAATGGAAGAATTGAAAAATTCAAAGAATTTGTATTAAATTTTGCGTAAAAAATGAAATAAAGTGTTGCAAAGTGCAAAAATTCACCAGATATGGCTCCGTGTGACTTTTTCCTATTCCCAAAGTTGAAGAGACCCATGAAAGGACGGCGGTTTTCCTCGATTGAAGAAAATCGCCGAGAGTGCTCAAGGACATATCAAAAAGTGAATATCAAGGGTGCTTCGAAAATTGGAAAAAACGCTGGCATAAGTGTATTATATCTGGGGGGGACTACTTTGAAGGGGACCACATTAATGTAGACGAATAAATAAATATTTTTTTGAAAAAACGAAAATTACGAAAACTTTTTGAACAGACCTCGTATATATATATATATATATATATATATATATATATTATATATATATATATATATTATATATATATACATATACATATATATATACATATATATATATATATATACATATATATATATATATATATATATATATATATATATATATATATTGAGGTGGTCTTTAATATGGACATTTTCGAATTTTCCAAGGGCTCAAATGGTTCCAAATTGATAAAAAACAATTATATGAAAGTTTTAGCTCTTAATATTGTCTTTTAGATAGTGCGCAATTCAATCAACGTTTTGGAAAAATTTTCAAAATTTAAAAAAATTTTTTTAGATGCAATTTAGCGAACAAATAAATGAGTTTTATTTAAAATTGGACGTTCTACAAAACAAATTTTCACTTTTAATTCATTTGTCGCTAAGTTATACCTAAAAAATTTTTTTTTAATTTTCAAATTTTTTTTCATGCTATTTCCATACGAAGTTTGATTGAATTGCGCACTATCTAAAAGTTAATATTGAGAGCTAAAACTTTCAGAAACATGTTTTTTATCAATTTGAAACCATTTGAGCCTTTGGGAGCAAGGAAATTCGAAAATGTCCATATTAAAGATTATATATATATATATATATAAATATATATATATATATATATATATATATATAATTTTTTCTATATTTTTCAAACGTTAGACGAAAGTAGTTGTACCATCCGCGACATATCGGGGCGTCTTTTGCGATCGATTGACTTCATCGAGTGACGTCATACAGGTTACTACATTATATATATATATATATATATATATATATATATATATATATATATATATATATATATATATATATATATATATATATATATATATATATACATATATATATATATATATATATATATATATATATATATATTAGGGTGGTCCTTAATATGAACATTTTCGAATTTCTTTGATCTCAGGGGCTCAAATGCTTCCAAATTATATAGTTATTCGAAAGAATATTATTTTTCTGCTCTTAAATTATTTCTAAATGTATATATTTAAAATTGCACACTAGAAGACTAAATTTTTGAATTATTATAATGATTAATGAATAACTATATCCAAATTTCTATCTAAGATTGGAACTTTTG